GATGCCCACCCTCCCCCCGCCCTCCCAATCTAAGTACAAAATGGTAGTGGCAGTTCGTTTTTTTTGCGTGGCCTATACACCAACTTGCGGTGGCCAATGTAGAGACTCCCGGACGAATCTGGCACCAGTTAAACGAGAAATGGATTGGCTCAGTTTGCCTGGGCGAATGTGGATCCGCCCCAGATTCGAACCACGGACCATGTGAGTGTGATAGTCCGCCACTTGGCACTATGCCACCTCGAAGACTTTGAAGCTGTAATAATGTCTGAAAACTGCAGTGGTGGTTGTGTAAAAAAGATCGTTATCGTTTATCATCAAAGAAGTGTTCTAGCAAATTATCATTGATAGATTATTGGTAATTTTCGAAATTACGGTTCTGATAACTGGGTTGAGCTGATTAATTGTAGTTATGCGAATGACTCAGAGCATCTTCTTATTTCCTGTGTACCAGAATAAGCTATTCGCTCGACAGCGTGACAATGTACGTGTGCGCCCGCTTGTTTAGTGTGACGTCGTTCGTCGTCCTATATAAGGAGGTTTCCCGCCAGTCAAGTGCGCTCTCATAGCCATGATTGTGACGCCGGTTCTTCTTCTTCTTTTAATTTCTTACACAGTTTCGGCACAAGGTCAGTTTCCATTCATTCTGGACGTCTTGATTAAAGATCACGATCAGAAGCCAATTTTTTAACGTGAACCTTCGAACACAGAGGCTTTCTGGGAACATTTCATTCTATCTCTTTTTAATATATATGCTTCATTCTTAGTACTTCGCGTTATTCGCTACTGTGCCCAGGAAGCCCACTTGATTCCCTTCAGTAAAGTTTGAAACCATTAGGCTGAATAGCAAGTTGAAATTTAAGAATTCAAGAGAAAAATTTGTTCTCCTGCTATGGATGAGAGTCTGATCAGCAGTAAAAGTGTGCTCTGATAGTTGAAATGCAATTGACACTTGCAATAAAAACCTAAGTTCTATATCATATGTTATGCTTACAGGGCCACCAGGAATCAGTGCAAATGGCGGATTCGGCGGTGGTGGAGGAAACCCACCTCCAGGACCACCTCCCGGACAGGTAGCTAAGTCTTTTTTGCATTGGAGTTTACTTTTACTAAATCAAGTTTCTAAAATTTCTAATTGATATGTAGGACATCTCTGCTCTTGATTTTTGGCAATATAAAGAGGAAGTTTGCATCGATTTAGCAATTCTCAATGCCCTTTCTGATACCGAAGGGTAGACTATAATAACAATAACAAATTAATGGCACGATAGACAAAAATAAATGTATCGCGCAATATCGACAACACATTGACTCAAAGATTGCGCTTTAGGGCTTCAATGGAGGCGGTCAATCAACTGGTATGAACTGGGGAGGCAGTCAAGCAGGCCAGGGTAAGCACCTTGTTCGTGGTAATATTTCCTCGTGATTATTTTATATATGGTGATATTCAGGAAGCTGGGGAGGCCAGAGTGGCGGAGAACAACCAAGTGGAGGCTGGGGAGGTCAGAGTGGCGGAGGACAACCAAGTGGAGGCTGGGGCGGNCAGAGTGGCGGAGCACAACCAAGTGGAGGCTGGGGAGGTCAAAGCGGAGGAGGACCACAAGGTGGGCGTAGGGGAGACAGCGAATCAGGTTCGAACAACTTGTGCTTCACTCAATATTGTACTGTTTGGATATCGACTTTAGCCCATCTATTTTCTTGGTAGCATGCAGCCATTGATAATAGCTGCTCATCTTTTTCCTATCTTTCTATCAGAACCTTACATTAACCTTCATCTTCATTTGTGCAAATCTATAAAAATCTACTCCTTCATCCCCTTCTGCACCCCTCCATTTCTGGGCCTTTAATGTCGCTTATACTGCCGGCTACATTCGCACTGGTTAGCATCATTGATTATCTCATTATGACTGTAAATGATTGATCACATAGCATACGCTTTCAAAAGAAACTCATCAGAGCCGGTCCTCTCATTGGGCGAAAACGACCCAGTTCTCAGAGTACGGATTCCATTGCGAAAATTAGGTAACAGTCCTCTAGAAAATTCACGCCTCCTTGTATCAGCTGATTATCCAGCATTTACATCTTATACGAGAAACTAGGGGAAAATTGGAAGCTAATAAACTCATTGATAATTTCCACAAAAGATGAGATGGAGGGCTACTGTATCTCCTCAATAGCTTCCTCTTTCGAGCAACAAACAAAGCGATAGCGTCTGGTTTTTTTCACTCAAGGAAGATGATAGACGGAAAAATTGCTCTTTGTTCTATCTCAGTTCGAGAAATTACCTGATCAAAGAAAGCAGTGTGTTTTTGTAGTCACTCGGGTGTCACATCGATACATCACTTTTATTAATCACTTTTATAGAATTGCCGCTCCTCCTGGAGTTCCTGTGATTTCTAAACTGAAAAGGTCCTAAAGCTTCAATGTGATTGAACTTCAACTCTTCTCTATCTTCTCTTATCTTCAATTTGGTCACATGCTCCAGCTAATAATGAGTTCGATCCATGTTGGTTGTCCAGTCTTAGTCTCATTCTCTTAAGCCAAAGTCGATTAGTGTCAATCGTTTCGTTTTCTTTTTGGAATCGGCCCCGACTTTCATTCAGAATTGTGTGGCGTGTTGAATGTACATGCCCTATACAATGAATTGTGCTCCAAGCCAATTTACGAACCAGCGCTTCTATCTCCCCAGACAAATCTGATCCCAATCAACCAAGACAGAGTATGTAAGGCCTCTTTGGTCTGAGAGATTTGAATCCCGGACCGCGCATATGATATTGCCCTCCTTTTGCCACTGCTACCTTTTTAATCGACACCGAGTCCCTTTCTCTGCTTAGAACTGATCATATGGTGGCAAGTTGTAATGAAAACATCTTTGATCGAGTATGTATCGTCTTCTCTTCCATTGCTGTATCATAAGCGACATAGAATCTCCCCGATCAACTTCGTAGTCCTTTACCATGTTCCATCGACCATTTTATAAACTCAAACAATTAAATGAATGAAGCGATTGAGGTNTCTCCTAAGCCAGAGTCGATTAGCGTCAATCGTTCCGTTTTTTGGGATGGGCCCCGACTTTCATTCAGAATCGTGTGGCGTTTTGAATGTACATACATGCCCTATACAATGAATTGGGCTCCAAGCCAATTTACGAACCAGCGCTTCTGCCTCCCCAGACAAATCTGATTCCAATCAATCTATACGGGGATGGGAGGCCTGATTGGTATGGGAGATTCGTTTTCTGGGCTGCCCATGTGATATTGCTATTAACTTGCCACAGCTACTTTTTTATTGATACTGAGCCCTTTCTTTACCTAGAATTTATCATATGGTGTCACGTTATCACAAAAACATCATAAGTCAAGGTTGTATCTAATAATTCAACGTTAGCCTAATAGAAACTCCCCGTTTATTCATCTCCCTAAACCTTTCGCATGTTCTATCCACCAATCCACCAACATCTCATGAACTTGCTCATTGAAATAAATGTTGCTATTGGGAAGGAAGGAGGGTCAGGTGAATGGAGAGGCTAAAAGTGTAGGTGATTTTTCGACTGAAAATTTTTTGAGATTTTGAGGTGATCGAGCTTTGAACCTTCTTTCTCTGGTTCTATTCACCCTACTCTATTTTTTCAAACTTTGCCTTCGTGAGTTTTCAAAAACAGATCCTTTAATCAAAATAGAACTCAAGAGTTTTCCTTTAAATAGTAATACACTCATAAAACAAGGAAAAAGCGCTATACTCGATGGTGCTCATGCACTGACAAACCTTCTTTCCAGAATTTCTTCTCTTCATTTCCAAAGTCATCATATGATGACAAGTCATTATAAAATGCTCCTTAGTCAAGGCAGGTTGAGAAATTGTTATAAGCGTACCAGAACTTACCGATTATATACCCTCCCATTATTTTGATTGGCATGTTCTAGCCACTATCATCACATAGACTTGAGCAGCGAAATAAAATGTCCTATTAAGGTCCCGGAGGCTCTGGAGGATGGGGAAGCCAAGGTGGAAGTGATGGAGGACAAGGCGGCTGGGGAAGCGATCGAGCAGGTCCAACTCCCTCAGGTCCAGCTCCTTCAGGAGATGGATCCGGACGTGGTGGCTGGGGAAGCGATCGAGGAAGCCAAGGTCCTTCAGGAAGCGGATCCGGAAGTGGGAGCTGGGGAAGCGATCGAGGTCCAGGTGGAACAGGTAACTAAGCAAATTTATTAAATGTTAAACCATGTTGTTTCTATATATTATATTATAATTCAGGTGGCGGTCCCGGAGGCTGGGGACGAGGTGGATCAGGAGGATGGGGAGGTCCTCGCGGTTGGGGAGGACCGGGAGGATGGAGTAGATTCGGTGGATGGAGGCATGGATTCGGTCGGTTACGCTTCAAATCGATGCTTGTACTTATTTGATTTTACATTAATCTCGGAATGTTTTCAGGTCCACGACCATGGTTTAGTCGCTATTTTGGAGGTAAGCATTTTCAACTCAGAAAATGACTATGTTCAACATTCACGATTTGTGGCATAAAAATTGAAAGGACAATGTTTGTAGGGGTTAATCGATCCCATATGAGGGATGCGCCTCGCATTCGATTTCAATTCAGTGACGTAATGAAAGAGTATGTGATCCATCGAATGACTTTCGGTGGCCAGCCAATGTACAAGTCGTGCTTTTATCTTGTCAGAGGAGTCTGCTAGCACTTGACCGACTCACGATCAGAAGGGAAAGCTTGCTTGGCCTTCGAGCCGGGATTCCGACCCGTGACCATGCGATAGTGCTCCACTTGTCATTACACCAACATCTAGGATAAGTAACTCAACGTGCTCTTTATCCAAACCTAGAAGTTTCGCAGTCTGGGTAAGGTCTACCCCTTAATACCAGAAGCTCAGAAGATGCTTAAGTCAACAGTATACCACGATGTGTCACACTACACCCCCCGTCATTCCTACCACTAACATGGTGCAACAGTTTGGCGATCTGCCGTTGTGTCAGTCTACAGAATGTCAGCAGGTGTGATATAGAGACTGAAATGGCTGTAGGGACAAAGAGTAGAGCGGCATGAAAACCCAGCCTTGAAGGAAAGTCTTGTAGGGGATTGTGATGATGGGTGATTCCGTTTAATATTGGCTGGGAAATCAGCTTTTGTTAGAGGGATGATGGCCTTGGAGGATCAATCATTATACCGATTTTACTGATTACTGATAAAATCTATCGATTCGTTGTCCCGCACGTGTAAGGGTGCAGCAGTCCAACCACCTTTTTCATATCCCAACCGAAGCTCCAGTCTTTTAATGGAATCTGAATGAGTCACTGTGAAATGATGACTTTACCGCTAGCCGTCACATCGCTTCCCGCTTTTCGAGTTAATTGTATGGGTGCTTTCACTGTCCCTGCAATACGACTGACTCCTCATTCACGATGTGGAAAAAATTCCGTGGAGATCATTAGCAAAACGTCTTTCGGTGATACTTTACCCATAAGATTCAGTACGCGTCGATCCCTTGCTAGTTGTCCCTCAGCGTGTCCCGACTGGTTAGTTGTCTTGCCGCGCGACGTGCCTATTTCCTACTCCCAGTCATCTACATCTGCAGACATGCTTACAAGTGGAATATGGTCATACTAGTGGCAATGGTGCTTCCGTCCCTTGCGACCTCTACTGCTTCCTTTGGGAAAAAGTGCAAGGAGAATACGTAGTTATTTTGAACCCTCTGGGGACGGGCCAAGCAACTCATCCCCTCTTTTTTAGAGCCATAAAGGTGCTAAAGGAGCGTTCCTTCGACCCACATCACAACTTATGAGGCAGCAAAATGTCTTGGGTGGCGTTTTCAATAGGCAATATTCCTCACAGTCATACCGGGGCATTCCATCTTGTCTTGGCTGGGTTCCGATCCCGTAGTGAAAGGGCGATGAACATTGTCAGTAGACACTTTTATACCTTTGACCTTGGCATGTATGGGGTCTGTACGAAGTAGTAAAGTGTTTAATAGATCTCACGGTTTATTTAAGCTTTTCTTATCATGAGAAACATATAGAAAAGTAGGCATTTCGGCGTTATCACAGACCAGGCTACTTAACAAACTGCTAAAATATCAACGAGGCTTTCACCAATATATTAACACTGAAGCTTAAGCAATATCTGCCTATAACTTTATAGAAGCTTATTAAAACTGAATTCTTACAGTAATTTTTACTATTTCAGGCTGGTAGCCCAAAGAAGACTTTCAAGACCAACTCGGACGATAGGAGACAATTTATCAGAACGATAAAGAATATTATTTACAACTTGTCCACAAAAGGCTTGGAAGCACCCATAATCTTTCATCACTGAAAACTCGGACTCAAATTCCTTTGCAAGATCAATTGGGTTCACGTAGTTATTCTTCGAAAGGGTTTGTCCCTACTCTGAACGGATTTTTCGAGTCATCATAGGCTGATGGACGGTTAGCACTAGGAGTTTTTGTAGATGAGATTCGCCTGCCAGTTGAATCCGATGACTTGGTGCTCAGGGTGCTACGATCAGCGAATGGGTTCAGATCATCATCGTTTTCAAAAGGATTGCCATCACCTTTGTTTGAGTCGGCTGGTGACACAGCGGTGGATCCCTGCAAAAGGGATAAGCCACCAATTATGAACCCCATAACGTTGTAAAGCGTATTAAAGAGTTCGAAAAAAAGATAACAAAAAAGCCAAAGATACCCAAAAATGTCACCGACCCTTGCTGTCCTCCAAACGCACCCTCCCCATCTGTCTCACCTTTTTCTGAGAATTCTTCTTCGACATATCGAATACTCCACTTCGAATATACTTTGATATAACTTCTAATCCATTGACAGCTCCATTCAACTGGAATGACCGTTGTGAGAAATGAATGAAAATCAAAAATCATGGTTCTGCAACAATCAGTCACCACTCTGTCAAAATCTTATGAATAGTACCGCCCTTAGCAGAAATGAGCTCACATATGACCTAGATTGGGAGAGGAAACAAAGGCAAGCAGGTGAACGATCAGGATCGGAGTACTTTGGGTTTTTCGGTAAGTGTTATGACTCCCTAGAAACGCTTACAATACCAACAGAAAAAAAAACAGTCTACTCAGCAGAATACCCTGAAGGGGCATCTTTCTTGCGAAGATCGAGTAGATCTTTGCCTGACCTAATACTTCACTCTGTAATTGGGTTTTAAAAGCATTCATGGTGTAGAATGGCAACAGCCTTTTAGTGGCAACTTAATTAGTTGTACTGTATTAGATATGAAAGAGTTATGAGTGAAGGCTCGGAATTCGTTTAAGTCAAATATTTTGAAAGGAATCATCTGAGAAATCTCAGATTGGAGTAGCCGTTCTCTACGAAACAGATGACCAACTAAGAAATATGTGGAATATTATGCATCATGTAGTTAGCGCCTTTGTACCCGCTCTTGCGTTCGTGTACATCAGATCGAGGTTTTCTACCAAACTACAGCATTAGTTTCTGTAGCAGTTATTTCGCACTGCTTTTGGAGTACGTCAGAAATGTCAAAGACAAACCTCTTTATGAAACATTTGATATGCAGCCTTGTCGCTTATGCTTTCTCTCGAGGTTTCCCTGCAATGCAGATTATTTCTGGGAGAAAAATAAGTATTTAGCGCATTACGTTTTGGCACTAAACCAGGTAGAATTCAGAATTCCCCTCAGTGGTTGGGCTGCTAATGAACTAGTGCGAGGCTCGATAAGCTGCTAAGAGGAGTTCACTTAGAATACCTGCGGGTCTGGAAAAAGAGGGATTTCTCAGCAAATATGTGTCGCCATTTGGGAGCTGCCACATGATCTTTCACCCCTTGGCACATTTGCCTACGAGTTTTCTGGGTTGGAAAGTATGAAGGAAGCCACATTCAAAAGGAAAAACAAAGAGGGCGCAGTGAACTCTTTTTCTCTTTCTTCCCCCCATACTCCCCTCACCTTCCCAAGACTGAGGCATGGTTCTATAATATTTGCATTATCATACTTTGGGATCAAGCCTTCTGGAGCATCTGAAAAATCTCATAAATGGCGGTCTGCTTTAAATATGGTCTCAACACAACATGGTTTTTTATTCTAAGCTTTGACACAAGCAATGGTTTCCCCAAATGAGATCAGTTCTAAATAAGTATATGAGCTTTTAAACCGATAGGTTCAGCCAAAGGTGGCTCGATTCCTGGAATAGCCAGCTGTCCTTACCTAGCCATCGGTCCCACGCAGGCTGGACACACGTCGGGTCTATCACTATAGGATTCGAAGCAATGCACGTGGTAACTGTGTCGGCAGAGGAAGTGCACTGCAGGCAGCTGAAGAGCGGTGTCACAAGCACTACACTTGTTCACCTGCAGTACTTGGACACTGAAAAAAGATCAACTTTACAGCAAAATTGAAAAATGTCACGAACTCGTAATGACCGTAATACAAACTTAAACTTGAGAGATTCCATCTGCTTGTCGATTTCTTCTACTCGACGTTCACCATCTGCAATCGCCTTCCGATCTGCTTCTATCTGAAATGACAACTGACTTCGAACAAAGCTTGGAAATGGCATTGCGTGCTGACCTGCTTCCTCTGCGCATCGAGCCATCTAATCACATAATCCTTAACTGCTGCCACTTTTAAAGTGCTGCTGCGCGACAGAATTTCCAACACTACCAGAGGTTGAAGGGTTCCGTTGGCCTCAATCCTGTAAAAACAACGTGAAATCGATTCATAACTCAATTCACGAAAAAGCACGCCATGCCTGAAGGAAGACTAGGGCAGTATGGCGAAATACCAAGAAACGTTCCCAGCCTTCGAAATATTCACAAGGGTCCACACGACCGTGGTCCTCGAAAACTGCGTTCAGGTGTTTGAGGTAGTACCCGGTATTCATGGGAGGTTGCGGATTGTGATTCGGGTTGGGAACAGATATTTTATGGAAGGCTGAAAGGCTGGGAGGATAGAATATGACAACTTTCACAATTAAGTGGTCAAGCTTTCGATCATATCAAGCTACGCAGAGAAAACGCCGTTCTGCTTATCCCTGAGCTGGTACGAAGCAGAAGCTTGCGAGAAAAAATTGGCCTCGATAATATGCTTGCTCTCGAAGACAGTAAAGATCGCTGTAGTTGCTTCAGTAGACTTCTACACTCTTGAGAAGGCTTCCGGCAGCACTTTTTTTCCTCAGTTCTAACACAAGAAACTTCTTCATGAGTCGATAATGCTGTACGGCGCAGGGAAACAAAACACCGAAGGAATATCAGCTTGCCTCAGCAAGCCATCTGAATAGGGAAAGTAAACTGCACCGCACCTTTCACAAGGGGAGTATCGTTGGGGAGGGGGAGGGGAACTAACTGGTAAGGGGTTAAGGCAAACCTCAGACAATGAGCATGAGCAATCAAAATTAATGAACATACAAATCAAAATTCATGTTGATAGCCAATCAAGTTGTCAGCTCCCTAAGCGCTGATTTTTAGGGGCCGGGGGTAATATTTCATAAAGTGAGAGGAGAATGGCAGGGTTTCCATAGATAAAGTGCTGAGAAGGCCTTGAAGGCGTTTCCTACATGGTCGAAGTAACAAAAAAACCGGTTAATTCAGCTTACCCTTCAAGGAGCTTTATGATTAGGTTTTCGTCAACTGCACCTTCGACTTTCGAGACATGAACCAACGTATCGAGCCACATTTCCTTACTCCTGAAAGTCACAACACTGATAGCACAGAATCCCCAAATCGATAACGAGGGCAACCATCTAGAGGAGAATTATGCCTCAAACACTAAGCATCTATAAGGGAAACACCGCTCTTGTACAATGAACTATTTCGCATGACCACTGTCACAGACAGAAGGTCAAGCCTTGCTCAATTCCGACTTTAGTCCGATATTTTACGGTACATGTTACGTTCGGCTTCTCAACGCAGTTACTTTACCTTTCAAGGAAGAGTGAATTCGAGTTGTCAAGAGTCCCCCCTTATGCGAAAGCGGAATCCCGATTCTTCTTTGCCCTATAGCAGATTGAACCTAAGCAGCTCAACAGTCACGAGACAGGACAGCCTGACTAGGTCCCAATTTCCTCTCATACCATGGGACAAATACACAAATATTCCGGCGATTTTCAATGGGAGCTGAATATGGGGCACGCTCATAACAAGGCAAAAGGGTGATACCTATCAAGCATTTTGCCACATTATCACCGAAGTAGAAAGATACCAGCAACCAACAAAAGAAACATACTTTTCAGTGTTACACAAATCTATCGCTTCGGAGAGCTTGTTGCCTTCGAGATAGTACTGTAGCAATTCTTTTTTCCTGTGAACGAAAGTATTGGTGAAGAAAGCAAAGGTTTTGCAGCAATCACTGCCTCACCTCCCAAGTTTCTGTAGAATGTGCTGCATGACAGGAGCACAATGAAAGAGGCGTGCCATATTAAGAGCACGGGAAATATTGCCATCTTCAATAAACGGGATTAGCTGCTTGCAGCACTCGTCATCCGTCTATAGAATACAGGATTACCAAGAATCAGTAGTTGTTTCCATTGAATTAGGCAAAAAGGTAGATGCAGCCGTGGCATGAACGGCACACAAGGGTAAAGATGCCATCCGCTGCCTTAAATAACATAAAGCCGACGAAGTGAATTTGAGTTAAAGATAAAGTCTTGGGGCGTTGAACAATCTCGTCTGAGAGATGCGCCCTTCAGTGCTCCTATCCTCCCAGACGAGTCTGGTACCAATTGACGACCCGAAAGGGAGGGAAGGCTCGGTTGGTCTAGGAGGGTATCCGGGATTTGAACCTGATACCATGCGAGAGTAAGGTGCGCCACCTGCCATTGCACTACCTTCGCCGTTTACGAAGTGGATTATGTTACCAAAATGTATAGATCAGGATGGAAATAATCTTGTAGAAAAGAATTGATATTGAATAGAGTTTATGAAGCTTCCTAATAGCAGAGATCTGCTTGTATGGTAAAACTGCCGTTACTACAGTAATATCATCAGGATGGTACCCATGAGCTTTGCCATATTACAATTTTCCATAAGTGTTTGGACGAATTGTTGGGATTCTAAAAATATTACTTGCTGGATTGATTGCGTAAAAAAATATTGAAAAACTATGAAGAACAAAATAAATCTTTAACCTGTAGGAACACCGCAATATACCCAAAAGGGATATATTGCGGTGTTCCTGGGGGAAACTCACGATTTTTCCTTCAGAATAGTCCCGCAGCCTCAATTCCAGTATTGTATCCAACAAAACAGCACGCGAAGGTCCTGATACCTGAACTCTAGTCATGTATATTAATTACGGCAAATACAGTCTGAGAAAAGATAATGTCTTCCGGCGTTGATCAATCCTGTTCTTGATATGCAACCTCGCAATCAACTTCTATCCAGAATCGCAGTGGTAGCTTTGAATGCGTACGTTGCTTTTACCTCTTTTGATACTCCGGAGTTGGATGATTGGTACCAGACCATTCTGGTACCAATCATCCAACTCCAGAGTATTAAAAGACTTGTTTGCTGGGAACTGATACCTCTGTCAGGACTCGATCTTTTGACCATGCACGTGATAGTGCGCCACTTTNATAGTCCCGCAGCCTCAATTCCAGTATTGTATCTAACAAAACAGCACGCGAAGGTCCTGATACCTGAACTCTAGTCATGTAAATTAATTACGGCAAATACAGTCTGAGAAAAGATAATGTCTTCCGGCGTTGATCAATCCTGTTCTGGATATGCAACCACGCAATCGACTTCTATACAGAATCGCAGTGGTAGCTTTGAATGCGTACGTTGCTTTTACCTCTTTTGATACTCCGGAGTTGGATGATTGGTACCAGACCATTCTGGTACCAATCATCCAACTCCGGAGTATTAAAGGACTTGTTTGCTGGGAACTGATACCTCTGTCAGGACTCGATCTTTTGACCATGCACGTGATAGTGCGCCACTTTCCACAACACCGGCCCCACCCAGAAAACACCGTACCGAGAATGTTAAGTCAAACACATCAAAGACAATTGTGCGAGAGCGTCAAGGAATGGAAAATGACAAGGGTTTCCCAGTACCAAATTTAGTCCTGCCCTATTTGGTTGTCAAACTGTTTTTCTCACCTTTTTGAGAGCAAATTCAACAAAACCAGCAGCTTTCGTGAAATCCCCTACGAACACTTTGAGCAGTTGTGTCGGATCGACATCATCTACAACCATACGATTTCCAATAAATAAATTAACGAGCAAATAAAACGATTACCTCCTGAAGACTTCTCAATGACATCCTGTAATAGATCTACAGTTTCATTCGGACATGCTTCAAAAAGCAAATGCCCATACTTCTCTATGAAAGAGCATGTCTAAAATAACAACAGTAAGTATATTACCCCTGTACCTGTCAGGAGAATTGCTGTATAGGTGCAGCCTTTACATAACCTTTAGGGAGTTTTACTCATAAACGAAACCTGACCTCAGCGGGAGTCCGTTTAGAAATGTATTTAATAGCAGTCGCGTGCCGCCCAAGATCTTCCACCATCATTGATAAGGCGTAAGCGTGCATACCGAGTTTTACAGCGAATAGACTTGCATCTTCAGATAGTTTCAGCGACCGAAGTACCTGGAATCGCCCCATCCACAAGTAACAATCTTTTCACAGAAGCAGGAATAAAAAAATGGCAATATTTCGGAATGCCAGCCCTTTTTCCCTTGACTGTACCACATTTCAAAAATTTCTTTGTGTTTCTAGAATTAGGTTCCTATGCCAAAGCGCCAAAACACTTCTGAATTTGGTGTAAGTCTGATGACGTTTCTTATGCCAACAGCGTGTTGGTCGAGCCCTCATTTCTTTACTGTGAAAGCCATTTTGCAGTTTCACTCTCCATATTCGTAAAGAGCATTCAAAATACTATCGATTTATCTGGATCTCCATTCAAAGTTCCATGGCCAGGATCTACCCCTACTTGGAAGTGGGTTCTCACAATCGTCCTATGATAATTGATTGTTCCATAAGCTCAGAACTTATTATCTGCGATGGTTCAACAACCCCCTACTAGACTGAAAAGATGAGTATACATTATACAGCTCCTCTTCGGAGTATCTCTCAACAGTATAGATCGCTGGATCTTGAAGGTGTACCAGATGAAGGTAAAGCCATCGAGTCTTAGCATAACGAGTGCCGACCCCTAAGCATAGCATGCGCTGAGAAAGTTTTCGATGATCGGAGGGAGCAATCACGAGGTACTCAATGAAGAGTAGTCAGATCAAGAAGAACGTCAGTAAAGTTATTGCTACGGAAGAGAAAGGCTAAATTCTCCATAAGGGCAGCTGACTCATAATGAGCTTAAAGTTGAAATTAGGAAGAAGAAGATGATTGAGAAGAAAAAACCATGGAAGCAGGTTTCAGTGCTAAAAAAGTAAAATAGTAACAAATCCACGAAAGTAGGTTTCTCACATCGAACACCGCAGCCATATCCGTCTTGCGGTCCTTGGAAATCTTCTCCAGGAACTTCATCATTTTCTCGCGTTCCTCTAGTTGTGCATAGCAGTGCAGGAGGATGCTCGTGTGATGTAAATTGTAACGATTGGTCTCATGCAAGGCTTCCATGTACACACACAGCTGCCTCAGTCGGGATCCTTCCAGGTACTGCAAACAAATAGATCGGGGTGGTTCTGATATCTAGCTAGGTTTTGCATCTTTCCGAGGGAAAGCGGCTTATATAAGAATTTTTGTCACAACGGTGTTAAGTATGGGCAAGTCCTTATGGACGAGATTGAAGTAGACCCTTTGGTTTCCGCGCATCGCGCTCATATCTATTACACCACCAGGAAGGAAGATGCATCCCCCAGACATCACAACATTACCTCTATCGATCATCATATCAAAAACCTACCCGTTTAATGACGTAGGATGGCTCCAGCATACCAATCGTCTCTTTATATTCGTTGATCGCGCCATCGAAGTCTGCCTTCCTCAAAGTGACACCGTGATTGGAATAAAATCACACCAAACTTATAGAAAATTAGTCTTACCCGTAGAGATAATCCCCATACTTTGCATGGATGGCTTTCAAGTGCTCAGCGCCGTCCTTGTTATTCTTGGCTAAGCTGCAAAAATGGCTCGATCAAAATGCAAATTCAGTTCAGAATGGATGAACAAAAGAAGAGGAATGATGTCACGGAAGATCCTGCTCAGTGCGCTTGCCTACGCATTAAACTCGCACTCAGTGATGTTTGAATGCTCTTATCCTCCCAAACGAGTCTTGCACCGAATAAGCAAACCCTAAGGGATCGAGAGCCGAGCTGAGCGACGCGCTCCCGAACGCATGGCTCAGGAAGTGATCCCCGGACCAGATGCATGGCTCGGAATTTGGTGCCCACCGTGCGCTAGGTCGCGCGCCACCTGGCTTAACACCAGCTCAGCTCTAACTACCCTCTCAAAAATGTGCTTAGAAGACGAAATACTTACATGATTGCTACATCGTAAAGGTTCTTCTTGAAAAGAATGTCCAACTTAGCATTAAGGCTCTTCTCCGTTAGTTTTGACAGCGTTCCGTCCTTCCCCAATATCATCAGCGACTGATCAACCGTGAACAACCTCAACAAAAATTATTCCCAGAAGCCTAAAGACGAAAAGAAAGCGTAGCTTTACTCTACGTTGTACAATTATCCGAGGCACACTTGCAGATAGCTCAGAGCAGAAATTTATGAGAAGAAGACCTTCGATGTTTAAATCAATTTACCTACACAACGATGGTACCGAACACGAAAATCCGATGTATTGACCTTTGACATTGTAGACAGTGACCATTGACATGTACTCAGTTTCATCACTCGAGCTGCAAAATAACCTTTAGACGATAGATAGTGCCGATGTGAAAGCCCAGAACTTGAAACGATAAGGCGATGACATCTTCAGGAAGTTACGTACGGGATCAAAGCGTGCTGCTTTGTAACCAGTACTAGGTGATCTCCTATGGAAATCAGCTGCAGCTTTTCATGACTTCGGCCTAACTGAAGGCAGCGCCCACGGTAGCCATCAGCATCAAGGCATTGATCGGCCTCATAGAAGTAGACCATCTAAAATAACTTCAATAACCAATTTCAAACTAGGCCAATAAGTCAAAAAAGCGAAAAAGTACACAGTTATTATCGAATTGAAGATCATCTTATATCCTTAACTGTTACTGACTGAGTGATTATGTGGAAATAGATTCGACATAACTCACATCACGACTAGCTACAACTAGAGAACCAGTTCTCTCATCAAACGTCCAGCAGTCCTTAGAGGTGCCATTCGAATCATGTTTCAGCTAAAATGTGTCAGGAAGAATTGAGAAAAAGCAATTTGAAGTCAGCAATGGCAACATATTCTTGTGACACCCTAACCCTACAGAAGTAATTCGCGGAAATACTGATGTAAACTCTGAACGGCACTACAAACTGAAGAAAAAGGGAAGGACTAGTGAAAACATTCAAACATTTGGCCCCATTTCACGCTGAATTACACCATGGACATGAGGGGGTGCTTTGCTTCGAAAGAGCTAGACCTCCTACGTGTTTGCTCTTAGAAGTTACTTCAACGGTGGCGAGAAGAGCACATCAGGGGAGCTTACACGAATCATAAGCTGTTCCCATTATAAGAATACCAAATACATAGTGGCACAAGAACCGGTAACAACTTCGAGACGGTCTGGAAGACAGCCGTCTACCCCAAATTGCTCGTGTTTTAGAGCCGATTATGATACTGCTTTAGAGCCGATTATGTGTGTAGACATCCCGTAAAAACAGAACTTATATTTTATTGTTAATAACGACCCCGCTAAAATAGTTGGACCCACTTCATTCACATGTGTTTATATAATGATGCCGAAACGTGATTAACTTCAACAGTACGCATCAACACCAAGCACGTCATCCCCAACTATGTTTCCTCGTATGTGTTTAGCCCTTTCTAGCTAAACAAACTGGTATCCTACATAAACCATAGCCATTTTGGTTACAAACACCGAGCTCTAGCAGTATTCATCGAATCTATCTGCTTGCCTCCTCTGAGCAGAACCTGTATACCCAGATTACAATTACGAATGTTTATACAGTTCATTGAAAGTAAAAAAAAACGTACCGAATTTATCACAGTTTTGTTCTCAATGACATATGAGTTGACAACTTTTGTCGTGATCACAAAGACGACCAATTTTTCTCCTGGTAATTGCGCCAGAGCAAGCCCAGACACCGTTCCATCTAAAGGCAACGGATCACGAATACGTTGCCAACGCGAAGTTAAGGCCTTAAATGGTGTGTGGATATACGATTTATTTCTGGGAAGAGTTTTAAAATTGCTACCTTATCTTTGATAACGGTGCCCTGATAGAGTAATACAGTACCGTCGACAAAGCCTATGGCAATTGCAGAAAGAGACGAGTGCACCGCAACAGCACAGGCAGTAACAGAGTAATGGGAAGAAGGATGAATGGTACTGATACGAACCTTAACATTCATTAATCATCAGCAACTAGACACAGTATATGAGCTCTGCAGTCGAGAAAGCAATCTACATACATCCTAACCCAACTTACAATTTTCCGGCTCTGGTGAGATCAGTCAATTTGGCACTAACGATTCAGATCGAAGTTAGCAGTCTAAGCTATTGATGAGGAACTACAGATTACTCAAACCATGAAGCTTCTAGAATTCACGACAGGTAAAGGATAAAGAACTAAGTTTTTGGCGTTAATCAATCCCGTCTGAGAAATGGGCCCTCGCACTCGACTTCCATTCAGAATCGTAGAGCCGTAATGAGCGCGTATGTAACCTATACAACGATGACTTGCGGTGGCCAACCGATGTACATGTATGGTATGTATGGTACCGATTCACCGACCCCGGAGGGATGGAAGGCTTGGTTGGCCTAGACGGATATCAATCCGGGATTCGAATCTGCGAACACGCGTGTGTGAAGAGCGGCACTTGTCACTACACCGCTCACGACAGGTGATCCCAGTAAAAAAATTTACTTCCTAACTCTGGATTACACGCGGCATCTTGGTAGATCGAGTATGGAGCAAAGCGTAGGAATCCAGCTATACTCATATACCTTAAGGCCCAGAAATGACATTTTTCTTACACTCAAATATACTAAAAAGCCTTGAGAGTAATAAATTCCACATAAAGGCAGCGCTTTCTATAACAGCTTACAATATCGAGCGGTGTGTCTGTTAGTGCATCGACATCTCACATACACAATGACAATTGAGTCTAGTCTTTAACTCAGACTACAATCGCATGAGGCAGGTTGCCAAGAGAGGCCACCAACATGATAAGGAAAGGATTCCTCGTGACAGGATCACGAGATTACAACAAGACATCTGAATGAACAATGAAACATTTCGTTGGTCTTCCTCGAACGCCTACGGGCCTTCCAAAGTTTTCTTCACAGGCTTCCTCTACAATTCACGAGTATTTACTATTGATCAGCAGCGAAATCATCGATGCGAATCTAACAGGGTCATGACGGAACGGACAACACCTTTGCTCGATGCCACTGAGATTTGCTGAACATTTTGAGCATTTTTGGGTAAATGAGATGTTTCTTCCCTCAAGTGCCAATGTGAGCGAGTGAACTACTTTCATAGTGCTTCCTTTTAATTCTTTCTGACTGGTGATCGTTGATATTAACAAATAAAGGGGACAAATTCTCCGGCACAACCGACCACATTTCTATCATGCCAGCCCTCTCCCATTCGACTTCCTTTTGGAATCGTAGTGGCGTGGGATGCTTTTATCCTATCAGAAGAGTTTGATACCAATTATTAACCCTGGAGGGATGGGAGGTTTGGTTGGATGGGGGGTTGTCGACCAGGAGTTAAAACCCGTACCACGCATGTGCGTAGGGCGCAACTTACCACCACATCACCTTCGTCCTAAGACTAGATAGGCATGGCTCGGAATTAAATTTCTGCTTACTAAACTGTAAAAAAACCTACCTCCCTACAAAGAGCTGGCACTCCCTTCTCGAAACAGTCACCCTTCCAAATCTTCAGCAATGAATTGACTCCTTCTTCGTCTTCCTAAAGAGCCAGTCAAAATTGAGTCGTTACTAAATATTTTGCGTTAGAACTCGCGAATTTTATTGGCTGCATCTTTCTAATATGTGGCACATTCAATGAATTAGACTGAATTAAGATTCTTCATGTTCTGACAATGATAAATAAAACTTACTCCGATAGAAAATATGAAGTCATCTGCAACATGTAGAGCAGTAAGGGACGTTTGATATGCTTTCCAGTAGTTTTCATTAAGATCTCTGCCCAATCGGAATACTCCTCCTCTTTGTTCTCCAAGATATGCCGCTTCTCCGCTGATGTTACTACACCAACAATCTACACAAACATCCTGAAATCATACTACCAGATGACTTCGTCACACCATAATAGTTGCAGCGCTGGTGATTCCCATCAATTTAGGTGAAACACTTCGCAACGCATTCATATGATAGGACCTTTTCTAAGCTTCCTTTTCTGCCCATTCCAAGAGCAGAGATGTTTGAGGGCCCCCCCCCCCCCCCCCCCCCCCCCCCCCCCCCCCCCACCTTCCCCCGCCCGTCCCTTCAAGAAGGATCAGCGCCGACGAGACTCTCTCAATTTTTGACGGAGATTCCTCCTTCACATCGTTGCCATTACCATGGTGGCGCAAACCAGATAAATAGTAATTGGCTTATAAGCACCTTCAGGCCCAGAAACTTCTCATCCGGATTTTCTGGATCCTGTACGATATTTTTATCGAAAAAATTGAAACGACGCCAGCCAAAGTCGACCGACATCGAAGGTTTATGCTCTGAAAAAGAACAAACACATTATGGAGAATCAACCAAAAATAGCGCCATTTCAAGTAAGTAAATGTGTTACACATTTTTTACCATTAGAACTCCAATCACATCCGATATTTATTCGAAATCATTGATTGGAACATAACAACAATAGAATTCTGAAAGGAGATCATGACTCCATAAGGCAATGTAAGGGGCAACCGGGGAACAATAAGCAAACACCTTCGACAGTATCCTAATATTGGGGAGCGAGGTGGGAATAACGCCGAAGCAAAACCTTCAAAAAAGTTCATGAGGACTTTTCATGGGTCACAAAAACAGAGCTGGCAAGGTAGATACTTCAGATTATCAATACGAGCATGCCAACTCTTTGTTCACAGCTAAATAGGTTGAAAGAGGTATAGATGCACATGAGGAAATTGTAACAAATTGTACCAGAAGATATATCAGACTTCTGAGACTGTGATCACACAAAATTCTTCCACAAATGACCTAGAAAAAAAAGATAAGCCAACAGAACAAATTTCTGCTTTCCTAAGTGTACTTTGTGCTCGGGATCGGTCGGGTATACATAAAAGAAAAAATGGAGGTGATCACTTTAACACATAAGAGAAATGAGCGCATAAATACTCGAGTTGGTTCCATAAGCTCGCCCAAATACCTAAAAACAAAGCATGATTTTTGTCATCAGTTCGATTGATACTGCTGTTAATATCTGCAAACACTCATGGTTTCATATTTCTGCGATTTTAGCCCTTGCTCTAGTTCCACCAGACACTGCATTAAAGACAGACCACTAAGCAATGGAAGTTACGCACGGCTAAAGGAGCCTTTTCTTTTCCAATTATTAGAACTGAGAAATCGAATGCTATCGTCAAATTCCGAAATTCTTTCTTTGATGCATTTAGAAGTTAGCGTTAACCTTACAAGATGGATATTGCAAATAGCCTGATACAGTGGACCGCAAGTTCAATAAAACGACTTGCCTCACGCACACCGGTGAGCAGTTGCCGGCAATTTTCTTGATCTCCAGCTAGTTTGTAAGCTTGAGCCAAACCGTATTTCAAGTGACAAAGCGCCAAATCGTCTTCATTTTGATATTGTCCTTGTAGGGACAGCAGATCATTCCCATATTTCAACATTTTCTCTATGCTAGAATACAAACCCTGCATTCGAAATCTTCAGGTGATGTAAAACGCAACTGACTTCTTTTGAGCAACAGCGTTCTCGAAAAGAACGCGAAGGCTTGGAATACGCAACACATTGAATCTGTACAAAGCTCCATCAATAACGGAGAATACCTGGTAAAGAAAACATTCGTCATGGGAATAAGGAAAATGTTCCTAACCTACCTTCTCAGCTAGTTCCATTCTATCTTGTAATTTAATTTGCGATTTCACTAGAAATTCATTGCCAGACCTAGCAGTTTCTTCAGCTACTCGGCATAGCTCGAAGTGATCCATGGATATGCTCCAACCACATCTAGAATAGTAAGTTAGTGACCGATTTTCCATTGGAGTGCGCCCTGAACTTGATCTGCACTTGAGTGACACGAGAATACGGTCGTTTCCGCACTTCTATTTACTTTCTGCTGATGACTTTTGCCGCTATCTACGGTAGTTATTCCAATAATGAAACTGGAGAGTCTGTCACCCGCCAAAGAGCAAGGTTGCCGTTGTGAACAATTCAAAAAGAAATTCGCAGAAACGTTCAACTACCGAGAGCACTCCGCGTCCTTATCGTCGCGTTTCAGCCATCCTTCCCCGCATTCGTCGCAGTGCCAGGCTTCCATTCGCTCGTTTCTCTCTTCATCGAGACAGCCTTCACACTCGCAATGGAAATTGTAGTCTTTCTAATCAAACTATCATATGGTATCATATAGAAGCGCAAAGAAAACAAGCTTACCATGAGGATTTCCCGACGCACTTTCCGTGGCAGTAGATCGTTTATATACGAGTGCCTAGCTTCTTTCAAAGATTTTGGCTTATGCGACATATCCGTTGGTACCATGACGGCTGTGGTCCCCCTGGAAGAAAACCTTGGAATATGGTGCAAGGAAAATTTCATTACTGCTATTTTCGTTGAAAGCATTGTTATTCTGGGTCCCTTCATGTTTACACTACTTAATGTTCCATGCTCAGCAAAAGTAGGAGTATTTCCTACTACAGAATGTCCTGTGTCGTGAAATCGTGAAGAACCGCAATCAACGGGAATTCAAAAGTCATTCCGCCGTTTTTGCCCCCAACAACTTTTCATTCCAGAAAGGTTCACTGCACTTAACTCTACTACAGTATTTCAGTAGGACTGCATATTAATTCTACATAAACTAGTCCGTTGATTGACTCAGCGGAATCTTCAAGAAACTACTTCCAAGAACAGGTGTATTTCATCCATATCTGAATTACATAGCCCTCCCTGGTGGTAAGTACTACATATGTGTACCACACAAAACAATCGGAGGATCTTTCCCATTAGAGCAAAAAGAAGAAGAGTAGAGTGAGGTTCATGGCAATGTTTGTTTCTAGGTAAAGTTTGCAATTTTTGCGAAGAGAGTGCAAGAGAAATACCAAAAATTTAACATCACAGGGAGGTACGTCATCCATTGAAGCAATGGGTTAGTACCGCATGGTCTGCAACACAGAACGGTGAAGCTTCCAAGACAGGATCCAATTTCCATTCTTTTACTCTTCGATTTTTTAATCATAAGTTATGGCTGAGAGTGTATTTTATAGTATAAAGTAAAACTGAGTGTCAACCATCCGCTCTAACGGTGGAACACCCTGAGCAGGGTCCATAGTAGAAACTATGCACTAGCTCCGTAATTGAGAACAGTCACCACAAAGTCATGCAAAGTAGCGAAGAGCAATTTAGCAGCTAGCAGATTTAGGAACAGGAATAGGGGGCTGGAAGAGCCGGAATCGTCTGCAACTGGTCATAGCGTCGTGTCAATGTGAAGTAGGAGAGCCATTACGAAGGCGCTGCCTACTACACGATCAGAAGCTATCATATACATCAAGTCAAATCTTACCGATAGGCGTAGCGCACGTTCGGCTTACATGAATGGTCGATAACGCTGAGCTTAATGCAGAGAGCAATGCCTATAGTCGTACTGTAGTTGTTTGTTAACGAGAAACTGTTCACACATGCCACCCTAGCCAGCCTAAAAATTCTCACAATTAGGCAGATATTGAAAAGTGGTAAAATTTAAAATTACAATAAGAAAGGATAAAGTTCTTGGCGTTAATCAATCCCGTCTTAAGGATGGCCCCCGCACTCGACTGACATTCATGATCGTAGTGGCGTAATGAGTGCGTATGTGCCCTATACAATGACTTGCGGTGGCCAGCCGATGTACAAGTCAGTGCTTCCATCCTCCCTGACGAGTCTGGTACCAATTAATCGACCAAGCAGGGATGGAAGGCTTGGTTGGCCTTGGCGGATTTCGACCCGGGATTCGAACCCCTGAAGGTGCGTGTGAGGTAGTGCGCCACTTCCCACTACACCACCTCCGCCCTTTGAAAAATTACAATGCAGAAAAACAATTAACATGTTCAAGTTAGAAAGAAGATTTGAAGATAATACATCAACCGAACATGGGTGCAGGAGCTCGCACTGCCGTTGTGACAGAATGAGACCAGAAGGTCACAATCAAAAGTCCATGTCCGTTACAAAGACAACGAAGCGGAAAGCTTCGAAAGAGTAGACCCACAAGATGACAATGTAATTTGATTAGGAAAGGTTGGGGACGTTTTTGCGTCACTTGTGGAAGCCCACCATGCTGTTGTTGTGCACCTCACTATATTGCTCGTTATTTGCAACCAAAAAAGCATTACACTGACCCATAAAACTCTGAAGCCGAAAAGGAAACGGTCTTGACTGCGGGTTCACTGAAGTGTTCGGGCTATTCCCGGTTAACGCTTTATAGGAGAATATTGCTCATTTTACAGTGTTCAAGGAAGAGCTCGAACAGTGCTACCCACTGCTAGAGAAGCCCACACCCAAGGTTGCTTCCATTTTGGGGAGCTTCGCTCACAAAATCATGAAAGTCAGAAGCAATGTTCCCAGGCATGTCTTCGACATATCTTCTAGAGAAACTAGAAAGGATAATGGGAGTACCAAATCGAGAATTGTTGGCATGTGAAACTTATTAACAAGGCAATCGTTGGAGTTTGGTCTCACCGTTTGACGACCTCATCACCGACAATAGTTTTCTTGCAGAATACTTTGTACTCCTCCAAAAACTGACGAGATTTGATTTCAAAAGCATCAGCATGATCTTCCAAGGTTGATAGTGAACGCACGTCTGCAACAACGATCCTGTTCAATGTTCTCACCTCTAAACCTCTCTTACCATCGTCAACCGTGATCTCTCCCATTTCTCCAGCGGCCCACTTGATCGCCAATCGCATCACAAGCCGGACCTCTTCGTTTGATACTCCATCAAGCCTCTGAAGAATATGATTCGATACCAGCCTAACTTACTTCCTCGTTCTCTGGTAGGTATCAAATCAGAGTTAGATATGCTGGAATTTTTCACTGTACAACCATTAAGGTCAGTGCACGTGCAAAAATAACTGAAATTTCCGAGAAGGAAAGCTCGGGAGCAGAATATTATGGGAAAAATTCTACACACACCTTACACATCGAGCATTCGGTTTTGTGTAGAGGCCAGTCCTTCTTCTGGCAGTCAGCAGAACAATAATAAAACATTCGACAGCCTTTGCATTTTTTCAAATCCGACCCCATCTTGAGGCATGAGTGACAATACGCATTGAGCTGAACAGTCGATTATTAAGTAACGAAAACCACTGTGATCAAAAGGAATTCCAAATCCTACGTGTTTCACAGCTAGAGCAAAACATATAGGCTCTTCTTCGAAAAGCTTCTCATTAGACGGCATTACTAAAAAAGATCTTGGAAAGAAACAACTGAAAAATAAAGCAAAAAAGAACACCGTTACAAGGATAATCGTCCATGGTCATAAATAACGTGAACACAGTAGAGCTTACGAATCTTTATAGAACAGCTCGATAACCCAAAATAAACAATAAACGATAACAATAAATACAACAGCAGCAACAAAGAAACAAGAAGAAAACTATAATAGATCAAAAGAGCCAAAGCAACTAATACAAAATTATGAGATGAAAAGTCAACATCATTAGACTGTAGCATTATCTATGTATACAGTTCCCTAACGCTTTTTATATAAACATGGTTTCAATTTCAGCCCAAAAGGCCGCTTGTTCTGCACTTTTTCAACCTTTCGTAGTTCCAACATTATGAAATAGTCGTTCAATCGTTTCTGAAACAACTTGCCGTTACTTGTTTTTCAGGCTAACAATGTTTGTCAAGAAGTTCTCTTCAGGAGCCCAATATTACTGCGATAAAGACATAGCATATAACTGACATCCAAAGTACGATACCAAAATGAGACTCACCTTCTCAGTTAATTCAAAACCCAATTTGCAAAGAGCATCACAGAACAACTTGACATTAACAAAACGGCTAGTAACTTCGGCAATTTTTAGTATGCCCCTAAAAGGTAGAGATCGGAAGTGGAAAAAAAGGATTTCATTCTAAACTCCTGAAATATGGCAGTATGACAAACCGCGAAGAGCGGAGAGAGTTAATGTACGTATAATTTGTATTGATTTTAAACGATGTGCAGGATACATCCTAATGCTCCCTTAATGTCACGAATATCAGGTGAAGAAGAGATGCGACCCGTTTTTAAACAATAATCCTATCGCTCGAAAGCGCAAGACGGAGAAGTAGTCCTCTACGTGCAGCGTATTTCAGCAGAACAACTTGTAGGCTCAGCATCCGCAAATATCGGCTTAGGAATGCTTACAAGTGGCAGAAACACTATGAAGGCCGTTGCTTCCTAGCCCAAAAAATGGAAGAGAAGAGGGCAGGAATGAAATGGGAAGGCACTAACTTTGGGAAGCTAAAGAGTGTGTCCAGCTAATGAGTATGGCTCTAGAAAACGGGCCTCTCAAACAATGAGTCTACAGATTGAGGAAGAGATGCCTATGACCAAGTTTCTCCCTTTCCACCAACTTCTGCATTGTTCACAGTACACGGGAACATAAAGCCTTAAGTGCTACAATGAAATCTGTACTGAAGCAATATGCTATATAAGTTCCTCAATTCCTGCTCCATCATCATCACGGAGAAATGTCTATCCAGAAAGCGCTGAGGAAACCGCAAGAACCATGATTTCTCCCTCTGTCGGATGACAACGCCCTTCACCAAAATCTAAACCGCAAGCTACCTTTAGGAAATTCTAAGTCTGCAGTGCACCGAAGCGCCACAGTATAACCGAAAATTTGACAACTTACAGCGCAAGTTCCTCGAATTTCCGCTTTGCAAGGAACATGTTTCGCAAGAACTAAACATATCACACACTTGACTCACCCAAGCTTCAACACCCTCCAAGTTTCCTTGATATAGTCACTGAGATTCGTACCCATGAGGGAAAGACAAAATATAACAATATCGGCGGATAGGTCTTCCATCGGCAAATGTGCCATGTCACATGCTGTTACATGATCGTTTACAGCTACAAGATCGAATGAGTGCACCTGAACAAAAAAGGATCCGACAAGGACATACAATCCGAATTATCAGTTAGAATTGTTGGAGTCCTACAATATAAGTCGAATGATTCGATGGAAAAATTGTGAAGGACAAAGTATAAAGGCAACATCAGTCATAAAAACAGAGCAAGTGAGATATATGAAGCAGAAGGACAAAAAGTTGAAAAGACAAGTAATCTAGCTAGTAGCTCCCATAAAGGGAACGTGAGGGAAAGAACTTTACAGGCTTAGTAGAAACAGTTTCTTATTCGAAGGCAGGGTGTCGCAGCATCTGCCTACTGCGACCTCTCTAACACAAGACAAAAAGGAATGATGTGAATGGAGAGGAATTCTTGTCGCACGCAGAGTTCTAATCCAGTTCTTTCAGACCAACTAACCTTGTGCATGTCACCGAGGGTAGCTGCTATTTTTGCTTCTCCACAGCCCATGTCGAACACAACAGATCCACTTGGCTTGGTCTTTAACCAACTTATAATGTTGGAGAGTGGATGGTTTGGCCACTTTTTCACCTAAAATATCGATGACCACAAGGTATGAACCGATCGATCTCTTCAACCTACTTGTTCGGCAAATCCATTGTGGTAACACCTGAAGGCGTCGGGGTCTTCTTGAAAATATTCCCATGCTTCCGAGCCCGTCATTGTGTATAGCTGCTCATTGAGGAACCTTAATTCTCACGACTAAATATGAGAAACTAACTCTGATGCAAACGATCGACTGTTTCATCGACAGCGAGAAGCGATAATATCCCCGAGTGCATAAGAGATCCTTTATACCTAGTCAATATGCCCATTTTACTAGTAGTAAGTTATAACACAACATTTGAACTTGTGCTGGATATCAGTAGGGGCTGGAATTCGGAATTTCGAGAATATCCCTCCTTTTTTCATTTGCAGTTCGTAATCTTATTTATGAAAATCAAAAGTTACAGATGATTTTTTACACCTTTTACGAATAATAGATCAACTCACTGCAGTGTTTTTGGTTTTTCTCGTTTTCAGTGCGACGAATTGCCTTTGCACCCTTGTTGTATATATTCACTAATCAGTCACCGAACTCTTATCCCTTATTGAACATTTTAGAATACGCCACAAACAAATGGCACTCTATTCTGGTCAAAAAGGAATGTGCAGCCTATTTGCAAATATCAGTGAGCCTCTCAATACATTACTTTGCGTTTCTCGGTTTGTGCGTCTATCCGCAGAAAGTCACGTAGACACAATTAGGATTTAACTTCCAAACAAGGTATTAATTCACGATTAATTACTCATGAAATCGATACTGATCCATTCGACCATTCCTTTACATGGTGGGAAATTCCCCATCAGTTCTCATTATTACCGTCTCAGAGAGGCTACATTAACACATGCTCCTGCCGAAACACAATCTTACTCATTTAGCGTTCGAGTGCATCCTTACCTGAAGCGACCAGCCTCAAGTTTCTCAAGGCTTTCTCGAGTAGAAGATTCCTTACTCGGAGTTTTCTCTTCTATCTTCTCAACACTGTCTATAAACTTCTTCTTCTTCCTTTTCTTCTTCTTTTTCTTTTTAACAGCGGACTCTCCAACTGGGATTGGAGTGTTCTGAAAGGATATTTTTTCTTTGATATCACTAACACGATAGATACACGCAAAGACAAATAATCCACAAGCCTCTATGACTTTCGCTCGTTCCGCCCTTTCTGCTTCTTTTTGTGCTTTCTTGGCTTGCTTGCGCACTTTGTTGCGCCATGGGCGGCGTTTCTGAAGCAAATTCAATAATCGCTGAAGAGTGCGTCAAAATAAAGCCTTGCTCTACGCAAGGAGGCACCAACAAGAGTATTTTACCTTTATAGGCTTTGTTGCAACTACAGAATCCGTAGCATTCGGCTTGACCTCCGGTTTTTTCAAAGACTGGGCCTTCACCATTATAACCTAACCTATACGTACTGATCGTTCTAGAAATTCAAGCTATCCAATGAGAATGGCACGATATGACTATGTTAGATGTAGCATGTTGTCATTTAGAAATTCAGTTAATATAAAAATTTCATTGGATCAACAAAACAACAAGACCAGGAATATCTATGTGAAACAGATAACAAGCCACAAGATAACAATAGGAACAAACTGCTCACGCGACGATTGTGAACAACCATATACGTACTTCTTTTCCTATGATACGCAACCAAACCCCATATATGGGAAACGATGATATACATGCCAACACTCAAAACAATGCAGTAGACAATGCAGGTGATAAAGAAGAATATTATCTTCGATCTGTCTTTCCCATTTTCCGCTTTCCGCTGAACAAGTGTTTGGGTTTCAAATCGTACACATGTCTGTCAGCCTCTCCCTTTCTTGCTTCACGCTTCAGACGCTGCATTGCCTTTGCGCGGAGTTTCTCAGCCTTCAGTCGTTTCTAAACGCATTACATTAATTATAGGTAGATTCCTTCATTTAATATAATAGTAAGGAATAAAGATACTCACAGCCTTGTTAGAAATACCGAGCTCATCTCTAGGTGGCGGCCGTGACGCACTCAAACTTGGTGATCGGCCGACCTTCACCTTTTTGCCTAATTGTGGCTTCTGAGCCTGTCCTTGCAGATTTTTCATTCGCTTTGCGTCAACCTGGAAATGAATGCTGCGAAATCAGGGAATAATTCTGTAGAATAACTTAAATTCCGTTACAAGACCTCAACACCAAGTTCTTCCATTTGCTCCTCCAAGCGGCTCATTGATCTCTCACGTTTGCGAACATTCAATCGCGACACTTGGTTGCCCTATGAAATGAAATCGTTTATTTAAAGAGAAAAATCCGAAGAAAAAATGATAGTACCGCTTTCTTCTTGTTGATCTGGTTTTCCAATGTGAGCAACTTCTCTTTCTCACGGATTTGTCTGGCTAGCTCTAATTTCTCCTTCGTTTCCTCATCATCACTGTCTAAATCTGGATCGTACTCGCCTGCTTTTTCTCGCAGCTCTTCCTCAGCAAGCAGATCAGCCAATTTCTGCGGAAAAAAATACATTACGCATCTATTACCAGCATCAGCCATGAGTGCATAGACAGAAAATCACATACCTTCTGAATTTCCACATCTACAAAATCTGCCAAATTGTGACCTTCCCAAATCTCTGGGATAACATCGTATTTCTCCTCGGGATTCTTTAACATGTAGTGCTTTTTCAGATCCAGTATATATTCGTCTTCCAACTCAAGCTCTAGTTCACGCTCCAGTCTTCTTGTATCTGAATTTCAAATAAAAAATGGGTAGCGTACGCGGCTAGCTCCGAACATCAACGTGAATGCGCATACTTTCATCTCTTTCTAAAGGCTCATCTGTCTGCATGCGTTGCTTGCGTTGTCTAACAGTTTCGGGAACATACGGAGCACGGACCTTAAAATCACATGACTAGCTATTAATATTTAAGCATCGATAAACCTCAGATAAGTTACGTTATCGAACCATACGTTATCGAAAAATCACTTCAAACGGACTGCCCTACTTCTTCGGGAGGTGCAAATAGTTGGGATCAGCTTTATTTTATATTATTACTATTACATCCCCTTCTGTGAAGAAATAAACGTTGCTTAAAAAAATCTTTAGCAATAAGGCGTGATAACAATTGCATGCATGACGCTTGCAATTGTTATTACTAGACTTACATTCATAACCGGACTACCAGTACTGAATGGGTAGTGGCCTGAACAATGACTTGCGGTGAACAGCCGATGTGAAAGTGTGCCTTCATCCCTGCCGCCTATGCTACTACCAAACTCGGATGACGAAGGTCTAAGTAAACAGTTTCGCGAACGTCGCTGTTTCCACATAGACCCCTGTTTCCCGTCTTAAAGTGAACGTTCGGGAACAGGGATTATGAATTTCTGGTCAGAAATACTCGACAAATACACTAATACACACTCATGGACAAACAAACTGATTAGAGCTCTATACATGGTGAGGGCGACTTGACTCTTGCTGCCTTAAGTAATACTGACCAGGCAATTAGATCTTATTACTGTCTTTCCAGTCGAATCGTCCGGCTAAGGCCGGACTCTCCTCGCGTTCGTGTTAAAATTGACCTGCCGCTCGCATTAGTTCTCGGCCTCGGCTTGGATGTCCTTGTGCAGGAGAACAGAGTTATGAATCTCCTGAACCACAGTCACCCCGACGCACTTCTTAAACGCCCAGCCCGCCATGAAAGGTGTCCTGCTCAGGTTATGATGTGTGTTTGAGTAATATGGTTCATTCCCTAGTGTTTTTATCCTGTCGTCTAAACCCATCCCGAATTTGAACGCCATAGATCCAAGACAAAACTTTTTTGCTCGCTCCGCTCCCTGAGTGTAGAGCCCATCACCTTACCACCAAAAGCCAGTGTCCCTATCCTGCCTCCTTTACTCCCTCAAAAATTGAACGCACTTGACCTAAGAAGACAATATTCGCGCACGCCAACCTTCCCCCCCCCCCTCATGGTGAAGTCCAGTCCTACCATCGGTGTTCTCAACCTGTCTCTTGCACTCCTGTCATTAAGGCAGTGGATACCGGTAAGATAGCAAATGCCCAGGTTTCAAAATAGGCGAGAAAAAACAACAATTTTCCGCTCCTCGACAAAAAATCAGCCCGTCTTACTGGTAGATTATTGAAAATCGAAGCACTGTTCTCACCTTGTCATCCCTTGGCGTCGGATAGGCCACAAAAATGCGATTCAAAACAGTATCTTCCACTGACGCTTTCTTCGACTGTAATTTCGTTTCCACTCGTTGAGCCAATAACGCATCGCATGCCTGAAAAAAACGGGAATGATCACAGTTCTTTTTCAAATCAGGGCTAATGTAATCTGGATCTTAACTTATAACCAATCACCTTATCTCGCAGAGTAATGATTCCTTCTTTAGTTACTGTTGACATCTCTATGACAGGTATTCCTTCTTTTTCGAGCTTCTCTAGATGTGCTACTTTCTGCGGTGAAATATCAGCTCTACGTACTATATCCACCTGAAAAGTGAACGCAGAGGTCTCTATGCAAAGTGCTATCACTAAAGATATAACTACTCAGAAAATCATTAATTCGCACACCTTATTTAGACCAATTAGCACAGGTTTATTGGCGAAGAGTGGCCGAATTGACTCGAACAAGTTAACCTAAACAAGAAGTATGGTCACAGCTGGATAAATGGAAAACAACGTTTAGGACTGAACTCAAAATGTTATCTAGCAGTAAATTAGTGACACATTTTTACCAAATTTCAATGAGTTTCTTTAGGAGCTCTCTTCAAATTTTGAGGAATGCACCGATAGTACTAGGAATTTAGTTCGTACCTGTTCTTCTATGGTCCTATCACATTGTTCTGAAATATCCATAACAAAAAGAATAGCAGCTTTGAGATGTGCAAGAGCTGTAACCGCTTGCATTTCGATCGTATTCCTTTCTTCAAGTGCTTGATCCAGTATACCGGGTGTGTCAATCACCTTGAAGTACGATAAAAGTTGATTAAACATCCAATGCACAGAAGGAGTGGTACTATACTGATAGTGGTAAAACGAATACTTGTAAACGACAATTTGCGGTTTATAATGCCAGTGATCGTATTCTATAGCGACATACCTGCCACCGCAGAAATTTGTAGTCAAGATGTCCGACGTAAAGAGCTTTTGTTGTGAAAGCATATGGTTGAACTTCAACGTCTGCTCGAGTTACTTGATTAATGAAGGAGGATTTGCCCACATTTGGAAAACCACATAGGATTAACGTTCTAAAGTAAGCAGGATCCTTGATTTTTCATAATTTTGCACATTGGAGAGTCTTGCAATTTACCTTGTAACGGGATCGATGGAAGGTAAACGAGAAAGATGCTGCCGAACTTGTTCGAGGTAATCGAAACTCGACTTCTGGCGCTTTAGTAACTTGACCATTCTACCCAAGGCTGCTCTCTTCAGCATTTTACACCGATAAAGGGAATCACCATATTTCATCAAACGCACGTATTCGCGAGCAATTCTGAAAGATTAAAACTTACTTACTGCTTACTTCAAACATTATATCACCAAAAAGTAAGCAGTTACCCGTCAATAAGATGCCTGGCAGTATTCATTTGTCCAAGTGCAATTTTGTAGTGATCCCTATCGTAAAGTATGTTCATCAAGTCGGAATAAAATGGGTGAACTTCCTGAAGTAAAATAAACATCGGCACGGTATTATGAAACGACGTCTTTCTTTTAAGCCCATAGCTGAGAATTAGATTGGTTGAAACTTCCAGTAAATACGACTTTCCTGAATGATTTTTCCTGCCGCAGGGCAGAAATGCTAGAACGACCTTTTCTTAGCATGTATCACCACCAGCTCGAAAAGAAACTTATGAAGTATAGCAGGATACTACTCCACTGTCTCATTTCTCCACATTATAGCGGGATACCTACGTAAGCTACTACAGCTTCAAGAGAACTACGATACAAACATACAAGAGCGACCTCCTTGTGAACCGCACATTCTTACTACTCATTTCCGAGGGCCAGCGGCCGAATTTCGGTAGACGAAAATGGGTTTCGATCGGTGTGTATGTGTCTGTGTATAGAGTAGGCTTATGTGCAGGGGCCATACTCGCTTAGGCATAATCCATGAGGAGCTAAGCATGCTTCATGGACGACTGCAGTAGTTAGCAAAGAGGATTCGAGTGAACAGCGAACAACAGGAACGCATTTAATGTAAGAGATGAGCAAAACAGTACTGAAAAAAGTATACCTCCATTTTGGGAAACTCATTGATGATCTGCGTTAATTTGTCATGGAGAGTTTGCTGAAGAAATTTGATTTTCCGAGCGTAAAAAGCACGTATTCTTCCGATCGCGTACTGCCTATGAATCACAGTGGGTGTTTTCCGTTGTGTCTTGGACAGCACGACATCTTTCAATTCCTGTAAGAAACTTTTTTTGAACTAAATGAACAAGCAGCTTCGAGTGCCACCCAATCCATGTTTATAAACATACCGATGCTGTCGGAACAACGGTTATCCGTTTGAAATTATACTGCGACGTCATATCGCGGTACCCGAAGCCCTAAAAACAAAGGTACTCAGTATAAAGTCAAGACATAACGAAGTGGCACTGCAACATCCATTGCATTTCTCTACACAATAGAAAAATTACACTGAGGAAAAGACAATCAGAACTGATAGAAAGTAATATCAATGAAGAAGGCAGTTTAGAGAAAAATTTCGTCAGATTGTGCAACCCGAATTGACATTGAGTTACCAACAGATACCCCACAAGAAATATAGAAAAGCCTGTTCCATACTACTTTGGAAATTTAGAAATCGAACGGCAAAAGTAGAGATCAATTAGACAACAACAACAAAGAACGATATGATGCCATACGTTTAAGAGAAAAACTTCAACGAAGCCTGCTTCATGAGAACGGATGGGAGACGACAAACGATGGTCGTTGTGTGCAACCACACAACATATGATTAGTATAACGGCTAACAACTAGAGTAATTTTTTTCAAAACGTCATCAGTTTTTTATGGTTTAGTCACGGGCACTGTTAGTTCAATCAATATAGGATCTGTCCTTATCTGTGGATGTGAATCCGCAACGAAGCCATGATCAACGTTTTTCGGCATAGCTTCCTATATTTCTGCGTGAACCTCTCTTAGCAATCCTTTGGATATATGTAGTCATTTTGTTACTTGGTTCATCTGTATATGAGAGGCTTGCAACTGAAGCATGCTTTGCGAGATTCTTGCCACCACTTTTCAAATGTAAACCTTCTAAGTTCCAGGGATGCGAAAGACATTGTAGTTGGACCAAAAATCTTTTTTCAAGTGCTTGGGCCGTCTTTTGAAGCCTCTGATCTCCTAAGAGTGGCTCGCCGTGCCCCAGAATTTCAGATCATTTCGGTCCGAAAAGAGGGGTTTTGTCTTGTTGACTGATTCTGACGAAACAGTGCCCTCTGCCCTCACCCCTCTTCGGCGCGACTGGAGTATTACTTCAGAGACCTTTGTCAGCCCTCTGTAAAACTGTTATCCCTGTCTTTGTTACAGAGTTATAGCATTCCTGTTCCTCAAGTATAGTTTCGATTTTCCTTCCCAGATCGAATAGTTTCGAACAAGATTAGATGAGCAACATTTGCTTCAATTTTTTTACTTTGAGAATGGAAAGCCGCAGTGTATCTTATCGGAGTAATGCATTTGGTATCTATGAGATAACGTTTTTCAGTTGCTTCCAGAATGTTCGTGTCTCTCACAAATCTGGTCGCCGAAACAGGATACGATGTTCCAGGAGATATGACGGTATGTAGTGTTCGTCTAGGCTTTTCGGATTAGCTGATTTCGGTAATAATGCGTGAATAAGGAAAGTGTTTAGCTCAATGATCTACTCGCACTATGTTCTGCTGAGCTTTTTGGGACCGAAGTCCCTCCAAGCAAAATGGCCACCCTCAAAGATGGAAAACTATTAGCGAATCCTTCACAAACCCTAGAGGTAATACAATTACTTGCGTTTCAACCGATCAAATCAACGTCTCTCTGCTCCCTTTTCTCCATAATGTGAAGTATTGTACTGCTTCCCTCTGTTCCACTCTCCACCCCTATTGTATTCACCTATTATGAAGTTGTGCTTAGGTCAAGGAAATCTTTACAAAGAATTGGACAAGGAATTGGTCCAGAAGAGGGCGCCAATTTTTTTTTNTTTTTTTTTCCACAGGCTCACCCATTCACTTATTATTTCATTTTCATCCTCACCTCCTACATGCGTCTTTTTGTTGTGTGAATGAGTGAAGATTCCTGTATCCAGCTTTGCCATTTGTTTCAGGCTTTGGGTGTACAAGCTGGTGACGTACTCCTTGTAAGGATGCTGAGTGCTGCCCCACAAACATTACAGGTATGCGGTGGTTATTGCCTTGTCTTATACCATGCTTTCGATGACCTTCATACTCTGCGACATGTAGGTTGTAATCGCAGCTACGTATGTATTGAGCGATTGCTTGGAAATCGCTCTTGGGACGAGCATGAATCATATGGGCGATGAATGTGATACGCAGTGTGTGTGAATTACGCGATAAAACATTATGGGCTTGGAAGTAGTATTTAACGTGTTTTTAGCATTGATTCAGTGAGAAGGCACCAACTTGTGCCGAGATTCTGCTCGCCTCAATCCACGCTTGCACGACTTAGGTGTCCATTGTTCTCGCATAGAACCATAACTAAGGTATCCATTGGACAGTCCACAGATGAAAGGGCGAATTAGTCAGGAGAGATAAAGCTTCTTCGAACACATATTTACTTATTATCTTGAGGGGTATTCACGTGGTGAACACAGCGAGCGTGATTTTTTGTAGCGTCTATTGTCAACGCCGGCGTCGCAGCGGTAGCAGTGCTCGAGTATAGGGGCTGCTCAGAAATAGGAGCGTCAGTCATGCATATTCTGCTTTTCTTTGGATGTAATGATCAGTCGTTTTCACTGAATTTACAGAAAAGTTTTATTATTCTGCTTGTTTCTTGTCTCCTTTTAGGTTTCTGTAGAATGTATAAGTATGGGTACTCAAGAAAGGCAAACCACGCGGCACGTTATTTACAGAATCAAAACGGAGTTTTGACCGTTTTTCTGGTCTTGACGCTTCTTCCGTCGCCGTCTCCGATGAGAAAATCTGACAGGATTAGCGCGCATTGGGTAGAAACTTGCGCTTTCATTGCAACTTGTGTTGCTTTTTCTGACTCCCCCCCCCCCCCCCCTTCTTGGGCTTACCGAACAATTCTTGCTCTCTGCCTCTTTCACTTCTGAGACTTCTTGCGCAGTAAATACTTTGGTATTGATGAATCTTTTTTTGAAATGCGCTCCCTCATTCGACTTCCATTTAGTTCTGTGGCATATTGAATGTGTATTTGGCCAATTCAATGGCTAACGGTGGAGTAGTATGTTACAAGTAATCAACCTTAAAAAGATGGAGTAAGTGGTAGGCTTATGCGGATAGCGACCGGGGATTTGTTACCCAGGCCATGCGTGTGTGATAGTCCGTTACTTGCCGCTACACTTTTAGACTCATATGTTTGAAAAGGCTGGAAAACCTTTTTGCTACGGATAAAGAGCACGGTGCTTAGAATGAATGTGAACACAGACACGATGAACCTTCTCTTGACCGTAATCAAGCGTGAGCTATCGCGTAGAGTATGACGGTATCATGAAAAGAAAAACGTAGCCCTGTTGTTTCGACAAAAATTGACGCTATAAGTTTGACCAACTCTTTTTCTCTTTAAGACCTCTGCGCCTCATCAGTCACAGCCATCGTCTTCACCTTCGGTAGGTTAAGTTATACTTTCATATAACTTGTTACCAATAAANAAAGTTTATCAATAGTAATTTTCAGGCTTCCATAGCAAATAACCCCAGAATAACAGAACTCATCAAGTCAATTAAGGTGAGTTCTGTTCCGTCATGGCTGTCTTCTCGTAATTTTTTTTCATTTGTTCAGGTTCCTCCCAGCAAGAAACCTAATCTTCTCAGGGAGAACGCTCGCAAAATCTATCAATTAGTAAGTTTCCGTGAAGTTTTTTAGGTCTCCCCCATTGACTTTATCCTTGTGGTTCGGTTGATTCGAATACGCGGAGCTAATGCATATTCAGATAACGGTTGCAAGGAAATATTTTTGGTCGCTTGGACTAAATCTAACGCGTGCGCGACAATAAAGAAAGTTTCCTCGGCTAACTGTTTTTGTTTACCCCAACCGCCTTCTTCTGAATTCCAGATGGTTTTGACCTTTGTTGCGAATTTCTTATCTGGCTTCCGACCACCTCCGCGCCCATTTGATCTGCTGCAGTACACACTGATTAGGATCATATACAAGAGCGCTTCACATCTGTCTTATATGAATACTTCAGATGGAAAACCCCGCTCAAAGAGCTCACATCTACTTCAAGGCCAAACCGCTCGTTGATCAATATACTAAAGATCCGAAAGATTTTGGTTGGTTTGCAAATGTGATCTATTTTCACTCATGCATTAATTGAGCTTCGTCCATTATTTCATTTTTAGAAGCTTTTGTTCGTGTCTATGAGCATATGATTCAACAGGAAATAGAAAAGGCACGTTTAATGTCTGATCCTGCAAGTGTGGAAGGCCAACGTTTGATCCAAGAACAAATACAGTTAGAGAATATCAACTACTCGTATGCTCAGGTCAGCAGCTTATACAGGCATAATTTTAGAATTACCACAAAAAGTCACAATAAAGATAAAAATAGATAATAGAACTTGTTTCAACTTGATGATTCGTTAACTGCTGTTATTTCACCGCAGTACGCGTTACGAAAGTTTCACAAGGTTCGTTAGTGGGTAAAACTTCAGTCTTGAATGAGGCTCGAATTCGTACTAGTGCTTTCCGGGTGCCGTGCTCTATCCCTTACACTACCGAGACCCCGCTTATATGCTATAGCTTGTTAGCACTCACATGTACAACGTGTTGAGCCGACCGGCCAACATCAGCACAGAACCATTGAAAAGGCGAGGGCAGCGCGGTTTCGGTAGTGTAAGGGATATAGCACGCTGTCTTGAAAGCACAAATCGGATTCGAGTCCCGTCCAAGACTAAAGCTTTCTCCTTGAATCGCTAAGCGATCAGGCCCGGGGTTTTGAATACAATAAACCTATTTTGACCAGCATTTCTTAGTCGATATGACGCTTCAAGTCTAGGTCAGTCTAAACTATGAAAATTTACACAGAAGCTGCTAATCACTTAACAATCACATCAATTCTACAACTTTTGAGTCTGAATAATTCATGTTCAATAGGAGGGGACCTCAAATTTTTGTACTTACTGCGTGCGCATATAGCATACGTAAATAATTGTATGTAGTGGGATGATCATGAAGTGTAGGCTGTAGGCAGTGTATCATGACAGTAGATAGGCTCTCCTTGACGACTGCGAAAACCGCTGCCATTTAGGCTCTCGAACATACTCCAGAAGCGTATATTCCAGTTCATATGTTGTACATAAAAATGGAAATAAACGGTCATCCGGTGAAGGCATTTGTTGATTCTGGTAAGTTCGTTATGGTGATAATTTTTTGCTTAGAAACGTAACGCTTATGAGGCCGTGCTTTTATCCTTTCAAACGAGTTTGATGTCAATTAATGAACTCAAAAAGATGGGCGGTTTGATTAGCCCAAGCCAGTATCAATGAGAAGTTAGTTCCCGTGCCATGTAACCAGGATGGGTGCGCGAAGACTGACAGTGTAACAGAGAAGATTCAAAATCTTTATTATGAGAGAGTGAGTAAGGAGCGTGAGCGGCTTGACCGTTCTCGCTGAGCAAAAAACAAGTAGAATGCAATTGACGGAGCCAGTACGAGCCTGACCCCCCACCGCGCCCCGCCCCACTTGATAGCGGAGGGGGGGGGGGGGGGC